GGACTACCATGAGTGTCAGTGTTAGGCATCAGAAAGAGCATCCGAATTCGTAAAACCTTGTCTCAACTCATTATGAGAAATTCTCTGACAGGTAGGACCCACTTTGTTTTGTGCAAGATTAATGCTGGCCTTGCCTCAGAAAAAAATATGGTTATGTATATACTTCATGTGTTATTTTTTTTTTCCAGTAAATAATAGTCTCAATGTCAAAGAGTGAATCAGCTTCTTATAAGAGTCAATGTCCAACACACACACACACACACACACATATATATATATATATAGAGAGAGAGAGAGAGTGGGATTTCAAGCCTTGAATGGCAACCTTCCTAGAGATGTTGTCTTGATAAAAACTCTTGGTTTATTTTAACTACTGTGAGTGTCTGAGTTGAGCATCGAGAAGATCATCTGGCTTTGTAAAACCTTGTCTCAAATCATTATGACAAATCCTTTGTCAGGTAGGATCTACTCTGACTTTTGCAAGATTAATTCTAGTCTTGACTCAACAAAGAAAAAGACAGCTATGTATGTATGTACTTTATCTGTGGTTTCTTTTTCTAGTAATGGCCTTCTTCAGTGACCTTATTATGTAAATTTGCATTTCAACTGAGGAGAGTTGAGCTTCATTATTTTTTTTCTTGTAGATATCTTTCCTTGTATCCTGCTTTATTTCTGTTATTTTCCTTTTGTTTGTTATTGCTTTATTCTAATATTTTAATCTTTGTATTTTCTGGTTTTCCCATGACATCTCTTGTATGATGGAATGTCAGTCTTTGATCTGATAGGGCATGCACATCACATCTTGGGTTTCTCTTGAACCTGTCTTTCCAAGACCTGAATTCTGAACTTTTAAACTTAGTCACCTGCACTCATAGATAACAAAGAATATGGCTTGACTACGTGTTTCATCTGTCTAAAAGTTTGTAAAACACCTGCAGGCTTTGAGAGATACATGCATGTCCACCAACACCTCTTTATTTTACTGAGCCATCATTTGTCATCCACAACCTACAGATATATTATTTTTAATGGATACCCTTATTCATGTAGATGATGCTCTGTTTATTTATTAAAATGTATATTTATCTATTTTCATCTGCTGGTCTGAATATTCAAGATTATATTCAATCTTTGAATTTCAAATAGATACCCACTCTTGACATCCTTATTTAAACTACCTCTTTTATTAAATATTCAGGGAATTACATCCTGCCCTTTTATTTAGGCTGTGAACATTCTAGGATAAAGCATTTCATTTTGATACTTAATAAAAGTGGTGGATGGAAGAACCAGGTACTTTGAATTCAAAAAATAATTGAGAAGGGATAACATTCTTCTATCTTTATAAAGAAATCAGGGCAATTTATCAGAATAAGGTAAATGTAAAGTTTGCACATTTTATTTGAACAATAGAAACGGACATATTAAAAGTACATGCATAACAAAAAAGAGGGTTAACAAAAAGAAAAAATATATTACCATAAATTGGTAATTCCAAAATATAATGATTAAAAACAACTGGTTTATCAGTACTCTCTCATCAATGCAAAAATCAAAGACAAAAAAAATGTGTATCCAGGGATATTTTATTATCAAGTGGTCAGGTGTTAGAGTTCAGTAGGTTAATATACTGTAATTTTTTTTATAAATTTGCATAAGATTAAATTTTGTCTGTGTGCCTTCACCTTACATCACAAGACAACCTGGCCCATCCCATACTGCTAACATAGTTTTACTGTCAGTTTTTTATACATATATGACTAACAAATGGTATTTACAACATAATCTGTAGTTTTTAATTGGCATAAAAATTTTGAAAAGCACCTCTTAATACATATTTCATCTAAAATTGCCATATGTAAGAAAGGTTTCTGTCAAAATTCATTCATAAGAAGACCTACAGCATTCATAATAACTATTGTTGTTGTCTGATATTTCAAATTATTACAAATTAGTCAAAGCCCCTCAAACTATGAACTTATCTCAGTAAGTCAGAATAATCTAATTAGATTTTCTTAAAACTGTATCAAATTTACTATTTTTTGAATTATTTAAATAATTCAAAAATTATTAAGTGTAGAGGGTGTGAGGGCTATGATTTGTTTTGTTGGTCCTAAAGTAGCAATGCCTCTTACTATAGAGACATGGATTTATGGAACAAACAATAACAACTATTAGGTGGAACACTGGAAAACACTGGCACTGTGGAAAAGAAAAATGAAAGTCTCTGTCAAAGCAATTAGTTCATTGGGTGAATGGTAAGCTCCAGTCATAAATCACATGTGTAAGCTTTTCAGGAGTGTATTTGGTTTTAGTAAGTGATACTTACAAATAAATCCAATTATCTATCATCAGAGTGGTAGTTCTCATATTAAATTCCTTATCCAGGAGCAGTGGGTGGAATTTGCAGTGCCAGTGTGTCATGCAGATGTGTTGTTCCTAGATTGTCAATGTGCTTTCCCCATCTGTCACTATGCCACTATCCGTCTAAATGCTAATTCTCCTCTGCTTATACTAGTAGAGATAGGCTCAACTTGAACACAATTTTAAATTCTCAATCTTTCTTTTGATTGGCCACTGTTGAATCTTTAATTCTTATTTCCTGGTTTTGTTATTTTACTGAAACTATGCCTGTGTGTTGTTTATATTACGGCGTCTAAATTAGGTTACCTAGTGCTTTAATCCTGGCTACATCTGTCCGTGTGCAGAAAAATATATTTTAGGTTTTTGGAGGTACAACAGGAAGTTTACTGAACTGATTATTATTATAAAATTATTTAAATGTTTGTTTCATGGTCAGCTGTATTTAACTATGTCCCATAATAAACAGAAGAATTTTATAAACTAGATGTCTTGCTGAAAATGTTCTTTATACAATGTCTATGTTTAGGAGGTAACTTTTATGACAACTTTTCTCTATTCATAAAATGAGTGTTTAGCTAGTTCCTAAAAGTAAAATATTACAATGATTTTAGAGACTTGCTTACTATAATTCTAATGGCCTCTTTTTGCTGTTCACCAAGTATCAAAGTATTGATTTCTAAAAACAATCTGCATTCAAGTCATGGGTAGCATAGAAAGAAGTATTTTTATTTTTTCAGGTATGAAATAACAGTTAATTTCTCTACCATTAGAGCATAATAAATTTTACAGTTGTACTTTCTATATAAAAAAAAAAAAATACACAGGAAAATGAAAAAGTAAACTTAAAATTCATTTATGCTAATTATTGTTTTTTTTAATGTGATTCTAATCTTGCAGCATTATTTTTTCCATGTGATGTTTATATAGCAGTACAGATTTTCTGTATGTTTTTTATATACGGGTATAGAATTTTTATGTGACTTTTATATACGAGTATAGATTTTCTGTGTAACTTTTATGTACACGTATAGATTTCCTATGTGACTTTTAAATACGAGTATAGATTTTCTGCCTGACTTTTATATATGGGTATAGATTTTCTGTGTGACATGTACTAATATAGATTTTCTAGGTGAGTTTTTTTCTACCTACATTCATTTTCTGTGATTCTTATTTACCGACATCAATATTTTTGAGTCTTATCTAACAGTACAGATTTTTTTAGCCTTTTCTGCCAACAAAGAATTTTGAGTCTTATCTGATAATATAGATTTCTAGTATTATCTGCAGACATAGATTTTTAGTCTTATCTGACAACGTATATTTCTTTTAAGTCTTATCTCACAACATGGATTTTTTTAGTCATAGATACTGAAGTATATTTTTCTTAAATTTTGCATAATACATCCCTCATCCTTTAGGAACTGTTATCTGCTGACTATTGTGGACGAATATTCCCATTTCCAATTCACTTTTATCTTCCTGATTTGACCGCTGGCTCAGTTATGAAATGTCTGAACAAGATTTTCAAGGTGTTTAGGACCTCTTCTTACATTCATTCAGACCGTGGACTCACTTCAATCCAGAGGGATGAAAGAATACCTGGCTAACCTTGGCATTGCAACTAGCTGGACAACTCCTGTAATTTGCAAGGAAATGGACAATACAAGTGGTATAACAGGGTAATATGGAAATTTATTACCCTGGAATTAGCTTCCAGAAATCTTGAAACCTCACAGTGGGAAATGATATTACCTGAAATACTGCATTCAGTTAAGTTACTGCCATCAACACCACTTCCCACAAGAGACTTCCAATACCAACGCCAGTCCCCCAGTGGACACACCTTACCCACTTGGTTAACGATCCTGGTCCTGTTTTATTGCACCACCATGTTCGTAATAATAAGCATGACCCACTGATGGATGAAGGAGATTTAATTGAGGCTAATCCACTGTATGCTCATGTATGATTGGCTGACAAATGAAAAATTATTGTCTCTGTTCGCGATTTAACTCCTGTCAGGGAAGACTGGTTCCAAAACCCTTCAACTGAAGTCATATCTTCTATCTCTGAGTACCCTGGTGGTTTGAGCCCACACCACTGTCTGAGCCTGCGATCAAAACTAGTCACTTTTTGCCTTGTCTTGTGCCCTCAGAATCAAGAGAGATCCAACCTGAAATAGAATATTCTACCCCTGGACTGGTGCAGTGTTGAAAGCCTCTCCATTACATGAGTTACAAAACATGAAAAAAATATGTTTATAAAATAGAGAAGGGAGAATGAATTATTTAAATCCCTTATTCTGTCTTGGATGGATTGTTCCACTTTAATATATTTCTTTTTTACTTTCTGTATTCTTTGTTAGGTGAATAAAGCCTTTGATAAGCTCACTGGCCTCTTGTGATTTTACTACACAGATTTTTCCATCTCATCTACAAACTGATTTTCTGGTTGATCATAAAATGAATAATTTAATATAAATATACATATTTTATTTACATTCATTTGTCTATATCTGTTATTCATCTCTAGTGATAAGTTCATTGTTAATCCTAGTGTGTAAAAAAACATTTTATCTGCAATCACAAAACCCAGTGGTTAATTAGGAAGAGCATTTATCTGATTTCTTTTAGGATTCCACCGAGGTTACCAATATCCTTCTGTGAACCCCGCTAATCCAATGTATGCCCCTCCTCTGGCTGAGCAAGGAGTCAACTACATGCACTACCCAGGCAGCTCTCTGGCTCAACTGCCACTCGCACATCCACAGAACTATATGGTGAAAAGTACTCGAACACCATCCACCATGACACCTCAGCGGTCTACACCACTCCTGAATCCTGTAGATACGAGTGAGTAACAGACCTACAGTGGGGATCTGGTAATATGCCGTTATTAAGTCTGCATTATCATCAGATTATTAATCTAGAATTTAAAACTTTGACACTGATTCTAATATCTGCAGGTCATTATTTACTTAAGTTACAGTCAGATTAATGTCCCTTTCTTTCTTGTTATTATCACAATGTTTCGACTGTTGCAACCTCTGTCCTTCTACAGGTTTTTGCTCTGGGTAACATTCAAGGAATTTTAAACTGGACTCTTTATTTAACAGGGTGAGCAATAACTGAGCAGAACAAGATAAGAACAAGACAAGATACTCTTAGACATGGACAGGGAAACAAGAACAATCTACCCACATAGAGGGTTCAGTTTGAACTTTCTTGAAGGTTGCACAGCTTGACAAGCATCTGAAAAGGTCAGAGAGATAAATGGCTGAAACACTGTGATAATAATAAGAAAGATGAGAACAATAATTCAAATGTAAATAATGATAACTCATTATCCCTAAAATTGAGACAAAAACTGCAAGTCACATTTAAAACAAAAGAAAAATTACAGATTTATGTTCTCTTAAAATATAATAGTCTGTGGATTTCTGAAATGCCACATTGTTACCATTATTATTAAATTTTGACTAGTCTTTCATCTTATTTATACTACCTTTTAATCACAAATTATTAGATTTTATTTTAATTTTATTCAAATTTCTTTAATAAGGCATTGGCAAACATGGACTTTTGTGCCCACAAAATAAGGGAGTGTCAAAAGGACAATTTTTCCATTGACACCATTTTTATTTTAACTATTTGGCCATGTTTGTTTTAAAAAGCAATGGTTAGAATTGTAATAAAACCTAAACATATGAAAGTGAATTTATATACTTTCTTTGTTCTTGAGAATTGATAAAAATATAATAAACACTATTAGATTATTGGAATGGTTGGCAAAATATCAGTTAATTACCAACTGATTCGAATTTTATAAGATGGTAAATAATAAATATTTCCTTATAGTTGGTTCATATATTTTAATAATTTAATAAATGTTTATAAATTTATGAATAAAAAATTGTTTTCATATTTATTTCTTTATTAATTGGTAAATGATGCATTGCATTAGCTTAAAAGTTGTCCTATTGGGTAGCATTGAAGCTATCTCCTGGAGATGGCTCTTGATTGGGCCTTCATCACAATAGGTAGGGAGGAGTAGATGCAATAGGCAACAATAAACTACAGAAGAACTCAAAATTGATCACTGCATTTAAGTATAGCATTAATATTCAAGGTTACCTTTTAAAAGTTCAATGATAATTCTTCTTCCACTACTTAATTTAAAGACAATTTGATGTATGTACAAACAATTATTTTTATTTCATGGGTGACTTTTGCTGGATTTTGCAATTTATTTCAGTTTTTCTCAAATTTATTTCCAAGTTATAAAAATTGTTATTGTACAAAAAAAATTGTCATAAAAAATTGCTGAAAACAATCACAGTAATGAAAACTTGGGAATCCAAAATTGGGGGTTCAGATCCGGCCCAGAATGTTCTTAATTTGCTTATAGAGTCAGCCTGATTCCAAAATGGTATATGTTGAGCTACAACTTCTGGGAGTAAAGTTGAAAAAGTGTGATACAGTGACATTCACATTTATTATATAGATTAGTTTTAATTGTATTAGTTTTTAGAATGTTGTAAATATAATATTATTTGTGTAAATAAATGATCTAAGAAATAACTAATATTTAATATTTTTGTTATAAATTCTCAAAATCAAAAAAAAATGTATAAATTTACTTTCAGCATATGTTTAGGTTTTATTACAATTCTAATCTTCACTTTTTAAAGCAATAAACATTGCTGAAGAATGAAGGTAATCAAAATAAAAGCAGGGTCATGGGAAAAAACATCCTTTTGACATTCTATTTGCCACTTTGTCAATTGTTATTAATTATTCCTTAGTATTTCATATTTCTTTTGTCTTACAAAGCAACTCTTGGATCATTATTCCCCAGCCATTAAATAAGCAATGTAGAGAGGAATATTAGATCTTATGGCCCTTATTATTGGAAACCTTTCTTTTCATGGCAGCACCATCGCCATTTTGACTTTGGAAACTTTACTGACAGGCATTATTCAAATAAGAAATATAACTATATTTATTGCTTCTTTACTCATTGCCATGCAACAATGTTTTTGTAGAATCAATGAAAAACATGCTGAAATGTTACATAATATCATTCCACCTTTATGGAAGTGAATGCTGGACAATATCCTTACAGATGAAGAGACTTGAAGCAACAGAAATATGGTTCTACAGAAGGATGATAATATCATCAGCCAAATGTGGGCAACAATGGAGTTTTAGAAAAAATGGAAACAAAAAAGACATTTATACTTAGTATCAGAAAGAGTGAGTTGAAATTTCTAAGACACATAATGAGGAAAGAAAGCTTGGAAAATTTGCTACTCACAGGACATATTGAAGGCTTTTTGCTCAGTGGAAAGCAATGCCTGACCTACCTAATGAGCTTGAGTAAATGAATGGCAGAACAAGTTTTGGAGGAGGTAACAAAAAGACAATATTTAATAAGAGCTACAAAGAACAGAAAATTGTGGAGAACCATGGTCACCAATGTCCTGACACAACCCATAGCAGAAGTTTTAAATGTTACTGTTTCCAAATTTCTTAGAATGGATATTAACATTATTATGGCTTATTTGACTAATGCCTGTCAAAAAATTCTTTGTAGCCAGATTGATGAGTGCTGTCACAGAAAGATAAACTCCGAAGGATAAGGGAAATGAGTTTGTGTCTAATCTATACTGCTTATTTAATGGCTGCAGAATAATGAGCTGAGAGTTGTGATAAAAAGCAACATGGCAGAAAAGCTAGCCAAAAGTTATTAATACCAAAAACATTATTTTCTTTCTCGCAAACCAAATAAGATTTGACCGTACAGAAATATTATAATGACTCTCTTTATAGAACAGTGTTGAAGCAGAAACAAATATTTGAGTTCTAATTGTGATAATGAAAATTCATTTTTGACAAAAAAAAATTTAATTCTCTTGGCAAAAACTATTGGTTTATGGAAAATTTTAATTAAAATATAAAAAAATTAACCTATTTTTACATTAAATAATAAAAATATATGGGATGAAAAAGCAATTCCCATTTATTTTAAAAACTTCATTTGCAGACTTATTTTTAACTGACCCTTGAGGCAAAAAACAAATGTATCAACCAGACCCCACCATGTGTGTTTCAGATCACTCACTCTTAGCACTGTTAACTACACACTGACAAGTATTTAGTACTAACAAAACCATCCTCATTAATCAAAGATTTTGGAAAAATGCACACAAATGTTACAATTCACGTGAAGAAGCAAATTGATAGTATTTCAAGCATGATTAGTTTGTTCATTATACATTTCAAATTTATTTTTGATCACTGTATCTTTTTCTTCAATTCCTGACCTCATTGGAAGCTTCTACAACTAAGATATTACATTTTTATTTTATGTGGTGAATTTTGTCCAATCAGAAATAAGTAATTTCTTTTACAAATTTTGACCAATCAAAAATGAGCAATCCCACTTATAAATTTTGACCAATCAGAGATAATTAATTTCTCCTGTAAAATTAATTATTTACAGAATTCTACAATTATTTTTTTTTACATTCATATATATTTTAGACATTTAAGAAAAAAAAATGTTACTTAATCATAGCTTTATAGTGATATAGTAAATATTTCTGAATTTTTTGTATTAATTTCAATATAGAAACATCTTTTTCTGTTAGAAAAAATTAAAAAGTATCTTTGAATGAAGGAATTTGTTATAAAAATACACTCATTTTTTTCTCTGTCTAACAACCATTTCTTATGTCTCATTTTTTTACATTTCTTTTTAATCTGATCATTTGTATATATAATCAAATTATTTGTCATTTACAGGAGATGGTAGCAAAGTCATATCTCCCAATCGGCATTCTCTCACTTTCGCACCGATGACTCCTATCCCAGGGGCTGTGCCATTAGAAAGCACTCCAGTCAACCCAATGCAAAGAACCCAAAGCTACCGAGTGACTACTGAGAGAGAGCCGATACATGAACAAGTACGAAGTTTGACGCCACAGCCTGGTCAGGATTCTGAAACAAAGTAAGACCCAGTTTTTGTCTAACTTTCTGTGTTAATAAAACAATGCACGTACATTTTTTACAAATGTAGGAAAACAACAGCCAAACCTGTAGTGAGCTTGCCAAACACTTCCAGGTTTCTGATGAAACAATCAGACTTCACTTGTACTGCATAGTGAAGATGTACAAGTTGAGCAAGTGCGCCCACCACACAATGTTCAACACCAGCAAGCAACAACCTGTTTCTTGCTGCTTTCTCATCAGCACAACATATTTACATTTGATCAAGTGCTTACGAGTGATGACACTCCTAAGTGTGCCAATCATGCCCTGTATCTGTGGAGTAGTCAACAAGTGGTGCACTATGAGCTGTTACCAATGAGCCAAACCATCACTTTGGACCTATACTCACAGCAGTTGGAATGTGTTTAGCAGGCACGGAAACAGAAGGAGCCAGCATTGGTTAATTCCAAGGGTGTACTTCCAGGCTTTCAGATGGCCAGGGATGCCATGTGGCAACTTGGCTGAAAGACACTATGGAATCCACCTTACTCCCTGGACCTTGTGCCAGCACATTACCACTTCTCCCATTCCTTGAACAATCACCTTCATGAGAAATCCTTTGCATCCAAGAAACATGATTTTTTTATCACCAGTTCATTGTGCAGCTGGAGGTACATTCGCAAAAGGTCCTGGATGGCAATGTGGATTAGTTTGAGGACCAATGTCATTTCAAATTTGCAGTGTACCTTTTTTTTTTCTAATAAATCAAAATGGCAAAAAGTTTTCTGGTTACCTTTTATTTTGTTTGAGCTCGTACTAAGTAACAAGTCATTGTGACCAGGTGTTTGAGTGTACTGGCTTTGTTCAGGCACTTAATGATGCCAGAAAATGCACTCTCACACAGAAACTGTAACTAAGGTCTGCTGAGCATAGTTTCAGTATAAACCATATGTGGACTCTGAAGGTGTTAATCAAAAGCAAATGTGCCTGAGCAGATGTCTGTAACAGGGATTGGCTAGCTTCCCTTGTAAACAGGCATACTAGGATACAATTGGTCAGCTATTATATTTCATTGTCTAGTTCTTCTCCAATCAACAAAGTTAAGAAATGTTGAACCTGGTTAGTACCTAGTTGAATGACTGCTTGAGAATTCCGGGTGCTATAAACTGCTATCAATAGACATTGGGATAGCAATTGCCCATTCCTACCAATCAACAACAAAGGGAAAGATTTGGGGAAGATTTACATCTAAAAAAGGACTTTCATAGGCTGATATTTTGTTTGAAGATCAATTCCAATACATTAGGATGCAGAAAGTCATATCAGTAGCATGTAACATCAACAGTAACTTCTTCTATATGCCATATCCCTTTAGGATGTTGGCGATCATGGCTCTCCACCTTTTCCTGTCCTTTGTAGTTCTTAATATTTTTTTCTTTTTGCTATATCTCCTAAACCCTTTTCTGCTAACCATTTAAACAAGCTCATTAGGTAAGTTATGTGCTTCTTTCCTCTGTCCTTCTTACATTCAGTATGTGCCGTGAGTATCAAATTTTCTAATCCCTCTTTTCTCATTATGTGCTCTATAAATTTCAACTCTTTTCCTAATGTTAAGTATAAGGATCCTTTTTGTTTCCATTTTCTCTAAAACTTTGTCATTACTCACATGTTCAGTCCATGGTATTCTAATCATCCTTTTGAACAACATTTCTGTTGATTCAAATCTCTTCTTCATCTGCGTGGAGATAGCTCAGGATTGTTATATTAAGCATATGGTGGCAGAACAAAGAAGAAACAATGAAGATTTAAAGAAATAAACAATTGTATTAAAGTAAAATATAACAACAAATGATAAATCAGTGTAAATGTCTCTCATTGAAAAAAGGAGATAAGAGGAGTTGTAAAAGGCATCCACAGAGGCATATGGAATGAAAGGGAGGATGAGCAGTGAGTTACCAGGGTGACCAGCTTTGGCAAACTGTCTCTTGGAGATAGGAGATCACTTTCTGACAAAGTCTGTGAACTTGGACCAAGCTGCCATCCAACTGCCGAAAATAACCTTTTGATGGGCTTTTATGTCCTTTCTTAGGCTCCGTTTTTATATTGTTTCTTTTGGCAGGAGTGGGTGCTATTGGGTGGAAATTCTAGATTGTATTGTTTATTTTTTTTCTTTTGAGTGTATGATTAAAAATGGAAGGTAAGTGTGGAGTCTTGTGCAATTGATGAAATTTTAGTTCAGTTCAGAGCATTCGCATCTGGCCAGTGGTGTAAATTAGTGTAGCATGAATCAGAAGATCTGGTTTTAAGAAGAATGTAACAGCTTCCCTTGATCTTATTCTGCTTCATGGATGAGTTGGTGTGTCTTATATGTGGTATGGTGATTCACTTTTTTTTCTTTTTTCTTTTTTTTTGTACATGATGGAATTTTTTAAATGTTTCAGTAGCTGACCACATGTTTGTCTTTTAGGATTTCTTCTTTGGAATATTGGGACTGATGACTATGAGATCAGTAGATCTGTAGTTTTCATTGATTACATGGTCATCAGATAAAGGATGAGGTGCTGAGTCAGGTGTCTGGAGAGTCTGTGGAGTGGGGGCAAGTTCATATAAATAAGGTGGTCAGGCTGAGATACAAGGGGATGTATGTGAGTATGATGGATCCAACTAGTTTTGCCATGACCATTTGTGATTTGGTCTACCATGTCATTTGTCTTGATGACTTGGTAACTACCTGTCCAAGGCAGATATGATATGTGGGCTGTGGCTGAATGAGGTCGGTGGAGTAAGACCTTGTCTTCAACCTGTATTGGATCTTTATAGATGAGATGTTTAAGATGTTTGTTCATTTTGTGGTTGGCCTCATTGTTTGCTAGGGCGATGTGTTGGTGAACTTGTCACAGCAAAGCATTTTTCAGCATGCTGTAAGCATCGAAGTCATCATTGGTAATGTTCCACTGGGGTAGTTTGGGTAAACTGATGGTGATGATGTAATGCAGCAAGATACCAGTAGCGCAGTTGGCAGTGGCATTCATAGACAGCACAACAGATTCAAGGACATTAATCCATTCACAGTTCCTGTCCTTGCAGAGCATATAAAGAGCATTTTTTAATGTGTGAGGATGTTGTTTGCTGTTGCCAGGACTTTGTGGATGCCAAAAACAGTGAAAAGTTCTGTGTGACTGATGTCATCTCACAGAAGTTCTTATACACTTTGCTTGTGTAGTGGGTGCCATGATCAGAAGATACAATACAGTGTAGTTCCCAGTGGTGGGGAAAAATTGGTAGAGTCTATGAGCCATGTTGATCACAAGGCCTCTGGTGCAAGTAATGGCTGTGAGATGTCAGCTAAATCTATCCAAAATTGTTAAAATATAGCATTTGCCCTTTGAGAGTGGCATCATGAAGTCTGTGTATACAACATTTAAAGATCTTTTGCCTTATTTGCAATGTCCTCTGGGCCAGTTTGGATGCTTGCAATAATTCCCCTCGCATTCAACACAGATATTGCATGATTCGATGTATGCTATAATGTTACGTTTTTTAACTTCCACCAATAGTTTGTTAAGTGGGTGTGCATCCAAGTGATACCAGAGTGGTTGACAGTCATGGGCTTGGTGGGTGTATTTGGTTTAGAGCTTGAATGGAACAAGAAGTTTATGTGTATTCTGAGAGTCTTTTAGCATCAAAACAGATGTCCCTGGTTCTAGATAGAACTGTTGTAGATGTTTTTGATAGATCACTACCCAGTGGGATCAAGCATGATGGTGAGTGTAGATGCTTTGCCTGAGTCCACCACTTGTAGCACTTTGGTAATCCTTGCCAGCATATTGTCGGAAGCTTGTTCAGCTGCGATGTTATTGTGATCAGAAAATGCATTGTCTGTGAAGTCTGAGGTTCTGTGGTGTGTGTGGCACAGGGAGCAAGTTTGCACCCTTTATTTCCCTGAGACACCATGACAGGATGTAGATATGAAGATCGAAGTTTTGAAGTCTGAATGTTTTATCTGCTGCGGTCTTCTTTAAACCATACCCTCTGCTGAGTGCGTCAGCCCAAACATTCAAGTGGCCCTTGTAGGATGAATTTATAGCTGGATATTTCTTCCTGCCATCATCAAATTTTTACATTATTGAACTCATGCTGGTTGAGGTATGTCATTAAACAGTAGTCAGTGAAAGAAATGAATGGGAAGATGTGCAGAAATTAGTCAAATTTGGATATGGCCCATTTTATTGCAAATGCTTTGTGCTTGGTAATGAACAAGTTCTGTACTGTTGAATATGTGAGAAGTGATGGCTATGATCTTTTTCCATCTGTTGTCAGTCTCCTTCCATGTGGATGTCACCACACACAACATCACTAGCGTCTGTGGTGGGTGTGAAAGCTTCAGTGAAATCTGGAAATAAGATGACTGGTATTGATGATAAGCATTTCTTCATTTTTTCAAAAATCTTTTCAGTCTTTTATGTACAAACAAACGGCTTTTTGGCCCTGTTGTGTTCATGTAAAGGGGCCACCAAGTGGGAAAATGTAACTGCCTTGATTTATTCTTGCAGGCATGTCTCCAGAAATTAGCATTTCCAGATGAGACATCCTATGAGACTTTGCAGTTCTTTTCTTGTAGTGGGTGGCTTCATTTTGACAGTAGCATGAATGTGTTCTGGGTCAAGTCTGAACCTTTCACTGTTGACAATGCAACTGGCAAATTTGACTTCTGAAGCAAGAAAGGTGAATTTTTCAAAGTTGAATTTTAGCCCAAATTTTTGAAGAGTGAGGAATAGCTGTTCCAGAGTGATGATGTAGTCATGAAATGTTTAGGTGTGGACAAGGTTGTCGTCAATGTCTAATGAGATATTCTCCTGTGAAGTGATGGTTGTCAATGCCTCGACTATGCATCGAGAAAAGATTTGACCTGCAGATGTTAGACCAAAGGCTAGACAGGTGTATTGTAATATCGATCATTCCAGGTGAATGCAGTTTTATAGTGGTCCCATTCATCAATAGTGACTTTCCAGTATCCAT